GATATATATACAATGTGTGAAACTGGCCGAAGTAATTGACAAAGCCTTTCCGTATAAGCAGCACCACGTTCACGAGCGAACTGACTATTCTCTCTCGTGTGGTGTTTTTATGCCGAGCTGATCTCGCAAAAAAATTGCATACGACCAGTCACTCTCACTAATTCTCCTAGCTCCGAGACTGTGTCTTTCTTAAATTAAGGTGTCAGGGCGGCCATATTTCTTTTTCCTTTCCTTCACTCGTTTTGCACGCTTTGCCACACGAGGTAAGTCATCTTCTCTTTTACATATAATATAATTGAAAATTAAAATTTCATTTTGCCCGCCAAATTCAAGAAAGGACACCGTCTTTGGTATGACGATAAACTATATCTGCGTCCTGAGTAAGACGATAAACTACGTCCAACAGCAAGACCTCTGATCAGGAGGTTTTGAGGAGCGTGGAACAACCTTTTGATTACTGGTGTTCCCAGATTCCACCCTGACTCGGGGTAGTCGAACCTGTGAGGGTCTCGGCTATGGGCAAAGAGTTAACCCACCAAAGTGGGTCCAAAACACTATGGAAGTGTAAAAATAGGTTTTAATACCAGAAATACTTCTTGTAAAAATCATTACCAGCAATAAGTTTTTGAAGGAAAATTATTACCAGCAATAAATTTTGGAAAAAAAAAATATTACCAGCTATACGTTTAAAAAAATCCCAGCAATACATCTTACAAATATGACCAGCAAAAAATCCCAGCAATACATCTTACAAATATGACCAGCAACAAATCTCAGCAATACATCTTACAAATATGACCAGCAACAAATCCCAGCAATACATCTTACAAATATGACCAGCACAAAATCTCAGCAATACATCTTACAAATATGACCAGCAATAAAAATTATCGGCATTAAATAACCCATTGAGGTTGATATGCCGTAAAACAAACCAAACCAAGAAAGGGCAAGTTTGGAAAGAGTTAAATAAAGAAGTGCCCGTTCCAATAAAGAACGGTTGACAAAACAGGTAATGTAAACCTTATATAAGGGAGAAAACGGTACGCTTTAAATTCAAAGAACTGTTCAGGGAGAGAAGTTGAAGAGTGATGAAGTTGAGGTAGGTCAGTACATGAATGGAGTTAGTGTGCATTTCAATACAATGAGGTTATCCTTGCCTAAGAATGTAGGTTTTAGAGAACTCCCTACCTAGTCATAATTTGGAATCGTCCGTTTACTTAGTCTACCTAAAACTGTAATAATAGGATTGTCCAGTCGATATATAATCTCTCCAAAATTTCGACATGTTAATAACTTTTTCAACTTTAACGTCAAAAACTGATGACGTTATTCCAATGATTTTACAGTCAGTAATCTCGAATGTTGAAACGATACAATTAACTCTGTTGTAGTGTGTAATAAATAATAAGATATATAAGCAATTTGTTTTCCCTACTTACTGATTAGATATATTAGTTGTCGTGGTAAGACATGTTCGCTTATTACCGTCGATCAAAAACTCCTTTTTGCCATGGCAATTGAATATTTTGTTACTCAGTAAGGGAAGTCAGGTTGTGCTATCGATGAATATGAAACATCGCACGTTCTGTTTTATATTGTGGAATTGATAGAAAATTATCAAAAATAGACAGTGAACGCTGTTTTATTCTCACGTTTCAACGACGAAATAATCTGGTTTACACACAGCCTTTCCCTCTCTCTCTCTCTCTTCCCCTCTCTCCCTCTCTCTCCTTCCTTCCCATCTCTCTCCCCCCTCTCTCCCTCCCTCTCTCTCTCCTCCTCTCCTTCTCCTCCCCTCTCCATATCTCTCCCCCCCTCTCTCTCTCTCTTGTGTGTGTACTTCACCTAATTCCATAGCTACCGATCGATAGAGATCTTTTCTATCCACGGATGACAAGCGTCCATATTTTGGTCCCTCTGCAACATGTCAGATCGTTTGAAACGTTAATCCAAAAGAATCCAGTTGAAGTGAGTAAAAAGCAATAAAACTAAATACAAGTACTTTAGATAAATAAAAGGTTTTGATGACACAGACAAACACGTAAGTGTACAGACTTATTACATAGTGCTAACGTGTTTGTTGCGCGTAAATGTTTGAGTTGATTTTTTTTTAATTATTTATCTACATTATATTTGACTTATCTATAATGGCTGTTATTGCTTGGATAAGTAATTACAGAAAGTGTGTAAACACCTTCGTACGTATTTGGTCGCCTACCACAGTGCGATGCTTACATTGTCGGAATTCGGCAAAGAATCATATACGTGAATAAACTCTAATGCCGTTAGATGGATACCATTGACTGAACAATGACTAAACGAGTAGATTCTTAACAAAACATCGCAGTCTACAACTAAGATTTCTATTGTTGTTGTTTTTTCCAATCACGACTGAAGTCCGCGGACGAGATTAAGGGGAAAGTGATGAACATGATTTTTTAAAAATTGCTAGCTGTTTTAAAACCTTTGATGTCTTGGACGTGAGGTTAAATGTTTC